GCAGAACTGTCTGGTATTTATATAGTTAAACCAGCAACTGGGAAAGAGGGAGGAGCATAAGGATAGCCCGGGAGAAAGAAACCGGAAGTAAATCACATCTTCCAAGTTGATTGGAAGATGTGAACCATGACCCCAAAATAAGGGAGTGGGAAATGCTTAGGATTATATGCGTAACGGAAGAGAAGCCAGACCTAAGCATATTCCCCCATACTGTACTGACGTCTCTGTAACCTTAATAAATGCTTTTAGGAGTAAATATGCCTGAAAGTCCTTTTAAGTGTTTCGTTAATCAGACACATGACAATAAGTTTCTTTGGAGCTTGACATCCACTTGCTTATTAGATCCAGGACCCTCCTGGTTGATGTATGGTGCAACCATGAGGGTAAATTCATGCCCAAGAGATGAGATGATGCTTCCTACAGTACTCTGAAGGTGGGTGGTGGAACCCCTTCCTCAAGAAAGCATTGCTGGATCTAACAGTTCTGGACAATTTTCATTCAGTCTCCATTCTTTCCTTTTGGGGTATGGTTGTCCAAGTATAACTCCAGGGAATTAGTTGGACCCACGTTGATAGGGTTTCGGGTCAGGGCAAAGTATAGAGAGAGTATTGATCACATTATTTTTCAGCCCAAAGCAGTGTGCCTGCCTCTGTTATTAACAGAGGGACCAACACCTCCTGCTTCATGTCTCCTGGTCTTCTTTTGCAGCTTCACCCAGCTGGTCCGCAGCCAGTGAGGTCCCTCCAGGTGGCCATGCTGAATGGGGAGACAAGCAACTCCGCCGCCAGGAATGTGATCCGCAGCTCCAGCATCAGTGGAGAAATGTACAATATCGAGAAGAGCAATAGTGGCAACTCCGATTCAGCAAGTCTCTCCTCCACTAAGAAGCGGCGATCCAGCCTGGGGGCCAAGATGGTAGCTATTGTGGGGCTGTCACAGTGGAGCAGGAGTACTATGCAGCTCAATCATCCCGGTAAGAAACTTCATGATCTGACTGAGTCTTCCTTGTGCTGGAAAAATTCTCTGCTCTACAATTGTCACCCGGTCTCTCTGCAGGTCTTTAGATTGGTTGATCCAAGAACTGGAATCACATGTAAACTCCAGCCATAAAGATCTTGGTTTGGCTTTGGCTTAGGAACCAAGCTAATCTGGGTACCTCTGAAGGCACTGCCACATGGAGTGTCTTTGGTGGGCTTCACGTGTAATGTCAAGCTATCGTGTGGTTCCTTCAAGCTTTGGCTTAGCATGTTGTGTGAGCAAAACCATTGGCATTTTATTAGGAAAAGCTAGCAAACCGTGGTCTTCTCAAGTAAACTAACATCAACCCAATTAGGACAAGATGCAGTGTAGACTCATCTTGCGCAAGCGTTTTCCATCGTTCTGCTTTCTACCCTTTCCGAAAGCAAGTGGAATACGCCCAAAATACGCCTGAATTTTTATTGATTGATTTACATGTCAAACTTTTCAACTTTTTAATTTAAGGTGACTCCTGCACTTTGCTCTGCGATATAAAATAAGACAGAAAAAGAAGAAGAAGATGAGCAATATAGAATGCTCGATTCGCATCCAAAGGTTTTAGGAAATCTCAGAAGGTCTCAATAAATATAATGGGTTTTGAACACATCACAACTGTTAATTGATAAGGCACTTATAATCTGTCTCACATGCTTCCTGTATCTGTATAAGCAACCTTTCTTCTCATCGTTTCCTCTCTTCCTCCCCCACCCCAGTTTAAATCCTACATCGATTTAGCCTCTTTAAGCGTCTGATCAAATGAGCTGCAGCTCAAGAAAGCTTTAAGCCATTTAATAAAATTAGTTGGCTGGAAAAGGAGCTACCAGACTCCTTGTGCTTTTTTTTTTTTGGTCCCCGTAGACCAGGAGTCTGCAACCTTGACAACTTTAAGACTTGTGGACTTCAGCTCCCAGAATTCCTCAGCCAGCATTGCTGGCTGAGGAATTCTGGGTGCTGAAATCCACAAGTCTTAAGGTTGTCAAGATTGCAGAACCCTGCCTTACAGCACTCTCTGGGTGGTTTACAATGTCAGCATATTGCCCCCAACAATCTGGGTCCTCATTTTACCAACCTTGAGCCCCATCAAGCTCAAACTCCAGACTCTGGGCAGAGTTAGCCTTCCACACTACATTCCAACTTCTGTTCCACCAGGGCTCTTGGCAATTAATCTTCCAGCTCTACCCCAATCTTCTTGCAACCCCATGTGGGAAGTTCAGCACCTTGGACAGGGCAACATACAAGTCTTAAGGTTGTCAAGGTTGCAGACCCCTGCCATAGACCAACAAAGTTCTCCCCCTACAAGGCAAACCTAATCATATCACTTTAAAGGTAAATTATGTAGGGGAGCGAGGCTGTTTTCCTTTGAAGCAACTCCTGTATTAGCAATGGGTTCTGCAAGTGGAATGCCAATGAGATTCAGCGGATACTCAAGTTATGAAACTCATTAAGTTCTTTTTCTGTCATTGCTTATGCCCGGTGATTGTGTTGTTTGGTTTATGACAGTTCAATTATTTTTTGGTAATTGAGTCTTGATTACGCCTGAGAGCAGACATTTAAATCTAGCTCCCAATACTGGCCATAAAAACAGTGTCCCCTTTGAAAGTGGAGCACGGAAGATAGGATAACACAGAATCAACTATAAAAGCCAACAGCAGCACATTGGAGGAGAGAAAAGGACACCTTGAACGAAAAGAGAAATCCTTACATTTCCCAGGAAGACCAGTCCAGAAGCCTTGGCCTAGATGATGTAGGAAATGAACAGGCTGAGCTGGAAGACGGGATCAAATGCATCATTAGATTGGAGTCACTATGCTCCCACAAAAGACCCAAGGTCCAGCCCCCTCCCTGCCCCAAATTCCATTGACCCTTATCTACCACCAATTTGGTTTGACTGTTAGTAGATCAGATTCTTCCGTATAGGTTGCACATAATAAACTTTTAGGGCTTTGAACTCAGCTCCTGTTCCTGGTTCCTTGTGTCTGACAGATATTCTGGAAAACAGAAAATAGCTTATTGGAATGCCTGGATTCAGATGACATATTTAGCCTGGTTACTGATTTAACTCATTTTCTGGATTTGTGCAAAGTCTAAAGGCTCACAGTAGTCTAACTTACAAAATATTAGCCAAGTTTACAAGGAACCAGTATTCATTTTCTAACTGGTAGCATCAATGAAGACTCTCAGTCATCCAGGCAAAGGTGTCTGAAGGTTGAATCATGACAACTGGACACATTTTGGTTAGCTTGAGATGTTTTGCTGCTCATTCAAGCAGTTTCATCAGTCAAAGCCAGTTAGGCAGAGAGTCATTGGAATGTACCAACTCTTCAGGACTTTCATCTCCAAAATGCCTTGCAGAGGAAACTCCTGAGGTTGGTGTAGCAAGAGTTGGTACATTCCGATGGCTCTCTGCCTAACTGACTTGCTTTGACTGATTTTTTTGGATGAACAGCGAAACGTCTCAAGCTAACAAAAAAGTTTTTCCAGTTGCCACAATTCAACCTTCAGACACCTTTGCCTGTCAGGATTCAACCTTCAGACAATTGCTAGTACCCATTATTTTCATTGGAGGGATGCAAAACCCATTGCTCCAAATATAATAATAATTTTTAAAAAATCACACAGGTCACCGGAAGGAAAGAGGCAGGCAACATGTACAAAGCAGTTGATCTTTAGGTTTGGAAATGAGATGAGACATATGGTAATGCAACTTCGAACGATCTTAGAATTTCCGTGTGATTGTGTGTATGTTTTCCTTCCCCCCTCCCTCTCCCAGGGTGTGTTTCCTTTTCACACTAACAGAACACTCTTTGCATGTGGGGTCAGAAAGAAGATTCCTCCAAATCTTAGGAGCAATGGCTAGGATTCAGAGTCCAAAGGGCCCAATCTGTCATGTTTGGCCATGAGCCCTGGTGGCGCAGTGGTTAGAATGAAGTACTGCAGGCTATTTTTGCTGTCTGCAGTTTGGCAGTTCGATGCTCAGCGACTCAATGTTAACTCAGCCTTCCATCCTTCTGAGATCCAGATTGTGGGGGGCAACAGGCTGACTCTGTGAACCACTTAGAGAGGGCTGTAAAGCACTTTGAAGTGGTATGTAAGTCTAAGTACTAGTGCTATTACTACACCTCATCTGTCCTTTTCTTAACTATGTTTGCATTTTGCCCCCTTTTCCCCCCGCCTGCAATGGTTCTCCTTAAAAAAAAAATTAAAATCCAGGCTGCTGTTTTCTATCCAGCAGACACTGAAAGTGTTTCTGTTCTTGCTGAGTGGTGAGCATCAGGATCAATTGACGCTAGCTTGGCACCTTGCTTGGCAAAGCTATTGCTTTCTCCCAGGACATTTGGCAGAGTCAGAAGGTTAATTGACAGCTCGTGTTCCCTCCGCCACCTGCACATCTCTTGCCAGAAGAGTGATCAAATTATGATCATCCAAGGAAGCGAATCCCGTCCCTCTTGTAACCACCAAAAATTGATAGTTAACCTCCGAGAACAATATTTCTATTGTGGCTTTTATGATTTTAACTGATTGTTAACCTGCCCGGAGTTTTTGCAGCTGGGCAGGAAAAAAAAACATAAATAAAATGAATCTCAGAGCAAATATACGGGATGTGTAAGTACGTGACTATCCTGAACGATTTACTAGGAGAAACGGAAGGCCTATTGTGCACCCAAAACAAGGTACATGGTATGTTTTGAATGGTAGAATTCTGCCATGTTGGTTTTGAGTTTTGGACAAGCTTCTATCACATTCTTAGGGAGTTTTGGCAATTTGAAACGTGGGATGATCTCTTTGTTTTGATTGGGATGGTGGTTAAGCATCAGAGACATCTCATAAAAAAGGTGCCTTGTTGGAAGGAATGGGATGAAAAGCTAAAGTATTATTATAAAAGGTGACATCCTGGTTTCTATTTGACTCCTCTCTCCGCCAGCCATTGTTCCAAGGGAGGGTGTTGCTACCCAACTCTGCATTGGCTTTGAGGGTGAATAAGAACGACGGTGGCAAACAGAAGTTGTAGTTATGAGTTCTTGTGTGGGGAGTACAGATAGACCTTGACTTATGACAGGTTGCGTAGTGACTATTTGAAGTTGTCACCTACCTAAAAAAGGGAACAGACAACCTGGCTCCCAATTTCTGAAGGTTGGGTCTCTCGCTGGGGTCATGGGACCACACGTTGGGTGCTTGTTAACACGGCTCCGTTTACAGCCATGTGGAGCATCCTGCGTCCACGTGATTTTATGATGGTTTGTCCGACACACAGCACTTTTGGTTTTCAGCAAAAGAGTGCCCATAGCAAAGAGTAGGTTTGCACTTCTGACTATGTTGTCACTAACTTAGCAGTTGCAATGATTAATAACAGTGACAAGAAACGTTGTAAAATGGGATTTAAACCCCCCTTAACAGATGTTTCAGTCAGCAACATAAAATTTGGGCTTAGATGTGGTCGTAAGTCTAGGGTTACTCGTAATTAGTATTATTAATCTGCAAAAAAAATCTTTATATAGAATTACCGAAGAAGGGGTTTGGGAAATGCTCTTTCAAAACTAAAAAAGATTTGTCAGCTGTGGAAGCTTGAGGGAAAATTTATGTGCCCAAAGGGGGGGGAAAAAAACCTCCTCACTATGAAGAGACAATTATAATCTTGGTAACTCGCCTTGCATTATTTTGTTCTGGTTCTGTTAAGCAGTTTATGGCTCAGCTGCTATTTGAAAAGAAGTTTATTTGGAGCCCTATTAGACTTGTGCGTTTGAAATGCTTCAAAAAGGTTGTAATTATGTTCAGAAAAGCTAAGAAAAGAAATAGGGAAAATCATAAATAGAAAATAATATGAATCCATGCTAATTCAACCAGATAATAATACTGGAGAAGAGTTTGGGATATTAAACAAAACAGAAAAAAACATTGTGACTGCATGGAAGAAAGAACAGAGAAGGCTGCTATTATATAAATATATAGTTTCTATTA